AACAGAATCGTCCCCATTTTTTCTTTAATAGTTAGTAACATTAGATATTTTAATGAGATATGGACCGCAAAACAAAAGATTTCCCTGGATTTCATTTAGAAAAAAATTCAAAAGGGGGAGGGCAGGGCCCTTTTTCTAGTTTAGAGCAATAGCCCCTCCAAATGTCTGTGCACGTCCCTAAGTGTGTCCATCCTTTTCAAGATAGCAAAAACATTTAAGGCAATGTCTTTAAATGGCATGCTTTGTCAGCCAAAACCCAAATGAATTAACTTTATTTTGATTTAAAATTAAAATCTTCATATTTGAGAGGCTAAAAACAGCCTTTTCTGACATCACTTTAATAAATAAAGTAATTGCTGCTGCTTTAATCTAAATGTGTTATAATTGCTATAAATGAACAGCTTTGCTGGGTGCACATATCTTTATCTTTGTGATTGATATTGTATACATTCTACATTGTGCCTGCTTTATGTATTACTTTTCTAAACTTTTACTCTATTTATTCGTGTCTTCTCTGTCCTGGTCAGTGCGTAACGTTTTCGTGGTGGTAGCAGCATCCTGCGTAGCCTTTTCCTGGAACGCTTTCGGCCATCCCGTGTTTACAGTCACAGGGGAAACTTCTAAGGGTCTCCCACCGTTCAAGCCCCCGCCCACCTCAGACACCACAGCCAACGGCACCGTCGTCACCTTTGGAGAGATTGTAGAGGTAAGGAGCAGAGAGAGGAGGCCCGATTCAGGGTGAGGGCACGGAATGATTTTACTAAACGATTGAACTTCACAAGAAGATCAGCTGACTAGCCAGTCCTCTGTGTGTGTTGTGTGCAGGACTTCGGTGGGGGGCTGGCAGTGATCCCCTTCATGGGTCTATTGGAGAGCATTGCTATTGCTAAAGCATTTGGTACGTTTTGTAAGTCATGCTAGCTGCGTAACGATGGCAATGTTGCTGTCAGTTGGTCAGTCCATCATTTTGATTCAGATACAAATATATCAACAATCGGATGGATTCCAATTAGATTTGGTTAAGAAATGTATAATCCTCAGAGGATGATCCTAATGACTTTTTGGCTTCTTCCGGCACCTCAATTAAGTTAATATTTGTGGTTTGATTTCAAAGTTTTGGATGGATTGCCATGAAATGTGTTGTTATGGCCCCCTTCAGAAAGAATTGTAATAACCAAAACCAAGATATTTGCAGAACTAATAACATCCTATTGAACCTAGCTGTGCTATGTTCTAATTACCAACCAACTTGGTAAACATCATCATCATCATCATCATCATCAAGTGTAGCATTGTCATCAGGATCATGGTTATTTTTACCTGAAGCTCTGCAGCTTGAAACTTCTCAAAGAATGAGTGTCTCTTCAAATCGTTGACAGATTTTAACTTCCTGTTTCTCCTCAGCCAGTCAGAACGACTACAGAATTGATGCCAACCAGGAGCTGCTGGCTATTGGTGTGACCAACATCATGGGCTCCTTTGTGTCCGCGTACCCCGTCACGGGAAGCTTCGGGAGGTGTGTGTGTGTCTAGTTTGTCAGTGTGTGTGTCTGGGACTCTGGGTTGTGTGTACGAGAGCTCAGGTGTCTAATATGAACAGCTTTATGTTTTCTACTCACATCCAGAACAGCAGTGAACTCTCAGACTGGTGTTTGCACTCCAGCTGGAGGAATCGTCACCAGTGAGTCTGATACCTTTAATCTTCTCTCTATCTCTTCCGCCCTCTAGTGGTGGTCTGTGTTATCATCTATTATCCACACTTCCCTTGTTTCCTTTTATCCCCTTACCCTCTCTCTTGTCTCTACAGTGATGTCTAGGGGTCGACATGGAGGGTCAATGCTATTCAACATTTTCTTTAATCCACAATTAAAAATACAAACACAATCATAAGACAGAATGAAGATATGTGAAATGGGAAAACCCAATAAGCTATTTGAAGCTTTACATAGCCCCAAACACTAAAAAGCTTAATACAAAATATATCTTACCAACACGTCTAGAATGTGAGGGAGTTTGAGTATTATTAAGAAACATTTACAAGCTAATAAAGCAACAAACATTAACAGATAAACCATTAAAACTAAATATTTGTCTAAAATAGGTAAGAGATAATAAATAATTTAGCATCCAACATACTCCACCTCAAACAAACAAAGTAAAATCACGAAAGACACATCACCCTGACTTTGTGATCAACGTTTGTGAATAAACAATTGATTTAAAAGTTAATAAAGAAATGATATTACAGAGTATGCTGTTGAGACATCACATTTGTATATTTTAGCTATGTTTCATGTATTCATGTGACTTTCCATTATGTCTCTCTTTTTTGTATTTTGGCGTATTTGTTAAGATGTCATTTCTGCTCAGTCTGTGAAGTTCGATCAGTATGGAAATAAAGATGTCTCCTTCTCCTTCTGTGTGTGACTTCAGGTGTGATAGTGTTGCTCTCCCTGGCGTTCCTCATGCCAGCCTTCTACTATATCCCCAAAGCTGCTCTCGCTGCTGTTATCATCTGTGCGGTCGCTCCCATGGTGGATTATCAAGTCGTGGCTAAGATGTGGAGGATACGCAGTAGGTGTCTTCTCTGTTTTATTACTTAAGTATGTCTCCGACATGTTTGTCTTTGAGTTGTGTTCTCATGCTGGTGTGTCTCCCTCAGAGCTGGACCTGGTGCCTTTCATTGTGACGTTCCTGATGAGTTTCTGGGAGGTGCAGTACGGCATCGTGGGAGGTGTAGCTGTATCAGGAGTCCTGCTGCTGTACCACACCGCCAGACCACAGATAAAGGTACAATGTTGTGTCAATTGAGTGTGTGAGAATGATTGTACTACTTAAATCCCTTCAAGCAACAGTGGCCTGGTTTCCTGTAAAGGTACTATAGTCCTCCGCTTGAGTAGGAGGAGTTGCTATCACCAAAACGTTTTCCGTTTTTTTTCGTAACAGCCAAAACCACACCACAGTTTCCGAATGAAACTCATATAATGATATATATTGTATAAGAACATACATTATATTTTGATGATGTTTTCATGATATCCCCCATCTTTATTAGATGGTCACATGGAGATATGTGCAAATGCCATTAAACAGTGAATCTTTATTGTCTATGCTCAAGATAAAAGATCAGATGTAGGTGCCTTGAGCAAGATTGCATTTTTTCTCACTAAATAACACAACAAAATCCTGGTATCTCAAAAGTAACCGATCACTTTTGTCTCCCGTATTGTGCAGGTGTCTGATCCCGGTATGCTGGTGATGGAGTTGGGCAGTGGGCTCAGCTTTCCTGCCACAGAGTATCTAAGCCACCTCATACACACTCAGGCTCTGCAGGGTAAGGGTTGTTTCGTCTGTCTTTGATTAGATGACAAAAACATTTATGAAGTTCTTTGATTGACCATCTCTTTTATTTAAGTTTTTCCTTTCCTTTATTCTCCTGTTATTTTCCCTCTATCATCTACCCCCAGCGTCTCCCCCACGGTCAGTGGTCCTGGATTGCCACCATGTCAGCGTTATAGACTACACAGTGGTCAGCGAGCTCAGGGACCTACTGCGACAGTTCAAACTACGAGAAGTTCAGCTGGTCTTTTCCAGATTGCAGGTACGACCTTCAGCTCTCACTGCTTCACAGATAAGTGTCTGTTATAGGAGAACTTTACCACCAAAATGACAGATTGATATGAAATACATTGTGTAAATATAAATTCTGGTAATATGTTGTTTCTCTTACATGCCTATATGGAAAACAAAGAATGGGAAAACTGGGATTTTTTAAGATAAATGGGGTTGTGTTGAACAACAGCCGATATTGTTGATGCTAAAATTTGTTTTTATAATAATGTTTACTGTTGTAGTAGCTCTGCACTAGGGCAACTGTGGCTGTGAGGGAGTGTGGTCGTCTTTCAACCAGAAGGTTGTGGGTTCGATCCCAGCCCATGCAGTCAACATGTCGATGTATCCTTGGGCAAGATACTTAACCCTGAGTTGCTCCCGATGGCATGGCCAACGGTGTGTGAATGTGTGTGAATGTTAGGTCCTAGAGTAAGGTACACTGCTCTGTATGAATGGGTGTGAATGGGTGAATGACATGTAGTATGTAAAGCGCTTTGAGGGGTCTTAAAGACTGGATAAAGCGCTATATAAGTACAGTCCATTTGCAGTTGTAGTAGCTCTGCAGTTGTCAAACACGATCCGCAATAGGCGCGTTCACACCGGAGTACTTTTCCCCGTACTTTTCCCGTTTAGTTCCGTTAGTAGACCTACCCCTTATGTCGCGTTCACACCAAAAAGAGTACTTAGTGCCGGGAACTTTTACCCCCATTTTTAGTGCCTGCTAGAGAGGTGGTACCACAAAAGTACCAATTTCTATTGGCTTGGCGAATTGCAAACCACGCCCCGTAAAGCTCTGAAAAGTCTTTTGAAGCCGCCATTGTATTTGCTGGCCTTAGCATTATTAGCATTAGCCCCGCGCACCAACAAGGTTCAAGGTTCAAGGGTCTTTATTTGTCATACGAACATAGCTACAGAGTAGTTATGTCGATGAAAATCTTAGGTCGGAGAGAGAACTAAGTGCCGGGGCACTAAGTGCCGGGGCACTAAGTACGGCAAAGTACTTGGTGTGAAAGCGGCTATTGACTTAAATTCCTCAAGACTTTTCTATTTTATTTTTATTTTCCGTTCACCTTGGAGGAAAGCAAGAAAAACATTTTCCTTAATGGTGGGGTAGGTAAGTTTGAGAAACCGGCTCGAGATACACTTTTTGTTATATTCCTTGGAATGCTCTTAACATCCCGATAGCAATGAATATCTTAAGTGCTTTGACAAAAAATCCATAACAAAATGTCATCTCTGGAAGCCGTAGTACTGTAAATAGCACAACCAATCATTTAAGCCGGCCTGGCTAAAATAACTGGATGGCCTACCTGCCTGTCAGCCTTCCATCTGTGCACAAACTTATCTCATGCCCTCATTGGTCATGTTCGTGTGTGTTGGAGGAGGGTCTCTGTAAGGAAGTGGCAGATTTTTTTCGGCTGTGTATTTTCAAATTCTAGCGCACTCGAGCTGGTTTCTCCAAAATTACCTACCCTACCTTTAAGAATTCAAATGAAAGAAGAAGGGAGGGGGGAGGTGTGCGTGAGACACCATTTACATGCACAAAAACCTATATAACACACTACTGGAAAGGGAACCCCCAAAGAGCATAATAGGGCCCCTTTAAGGTCTTCTTTCAACAAGAATGTATATTAGGGTTTTGGAACTAAATGCCTTATTGTTATACAGAAGTACGTTTTCAAAACAGCATAAAAATACAAAATATATATATTTTTATATATCTATGTCTCTGTCTTCCTCTGCTCTTTAGCCCTCGGTCCTGGAGGTTCTCCTGGCAGCTGACCTGCAGGACTTCAGGCACACAGACAGTGTGGAGGCGGCGCTGCAGATTGAGACAGAGAGCCTCCTCGATGAATGACACAAAAACAAATTCTAATCAGAGACTGGAGAGGACGGAAGAAACGTAGCAACACTGATCAGTGACGTTTCTGATGTGGGATTAACAGGTTTTTATTAAGTTTATAAGGTGATGACCTACCTCCAACAACTGATAACCTGGCTGCTGGTTGTACAGCCTGACTTTGGAAATCAATATGGGATTTGGAGATTACAGCACTACAACATTGCACATCAACATTGGACCAAAAGTCTAATTGTGTTTTTATAGTATTTGATATGAGGGACCATTTTAGAGTAAGGGGGGTAATGAGAGAAGTATTATTACTTAAGTATATATTTACTAACGGCGATCTCCTGCCGTTATGTTTTAGGATTAAAAGGTGGTAGGGGGGCTTCCAGAGACCAACATCGGAATTTACACTAAGAATAGGGAAAATTGGTGTGTGAATAATGAACAGCAGAGAGCAAAGCTAACACTTAATCCATCTGTCATTATCTGTATTTTATTTATCATATTTCTAAATGTAAGTTGATTGGTTTCTGTTATTATTATGTAGGGAATTCAATGTTGCCAAGTTAGTTTCAAAATGGTTTTAATTGACTCATCACAATGACACCTATTGAATTACATTTCAACCTAAATTATCAAATCTATACAAGGAATTTTACATTTACATTTCCAGATGTGTGCATGTGGGTTTGTGTAGTGAAGTCATCTGATTGGTCCCAGTATAATTTCCCCAATCTGTTATCAATGTGTAGGTGATATACTGATTTTCTTGCAAGCAGTTGTTTCCACATGAATCCATAAGTAGTTTTGACAAAATACATTTACTCTGATAACTTCCAACCTAATGAAATCCATACCGAGACCTTTACAAAACTTTCAAAATCTATCAATCTGTGGCCTCATCAGCTTTTCTCTTTTTTCAAGTTTAAAAGCAACCTTAAACAAATTACTGAACTAAAGCTGCATTCATAATATATTTCCAATGAAATGTATTCATTTGTTGAGATACGTTTTTACAATGACATTGTATATTTTTCTTTTAATCTATGAATATTTTTGAAAAAAGCACAAAATCTTTGTTTCAGCCGTGTGAAATACGGAAACATTCTCATTTCATAGATGGTGAATACTTTCCATCGGGTAAGTGACTGCAAATATCACAAAGTAAACCATTGAAGGCATAAATCAGCGGATTTTCTATACAAGCATTCACTGTACCTACATTAACATAAACACTGTAAAACACTTCAACACCAAATGTGCAAAAAGGAACATTATGTAAGTACTTTTACCACTCGTATTGTATGTTGATGGTAAACTCCAGAAGTTCAGCCCTTCACATGAACAACAAGATGAAGGGTTGTCATCATCCATCACCCTCGCCCGGCTTATCGGCTGTTTCCAGTTTTAGCAATTATTAACCAGGCTGCTGCTTCACTGGGAAATGTTCCTGATCAGTGTCGAGTTGAAATATGAATATGTGGATTCTTCTCAAGATCAGGACTTCTCTTAATTTGGATGTCAATCTTGAAAAACCTGGCTAAATAAAGGTTCTACTACTACTACTACTACTACTACTACTACTACAAAACTGTGTTCATTAAAATGACAGAACTTTTAAATCTAAACAATGAATTTGCAGTTTTCAATGCTTTTGAGTGAATAATACATTTGAACAAAATACAAGCAAAATATAAGAGCTGCGGTGAGGTCAACCATTGCAGCTTACAGTACTTATACATAAAACATTTTAACCAGATTGTTACTCAGTTCTCTACCTAAATCGACCAATACATTACCTAGCAACATAAAACTAAGTATCTATTTTGTGTGCCTCTGTTGTGACATGTTTACATGCCTTAATGTTCAAAAGGTCTTTATTTTTTAGAGAAACTCCCTTTGGGATTTTAGGCTTTGCACATATAAAAACCTATATTATAACACACTACAGGAAAGACGACACACAAAGAGAGGCATAGCCCGAAAAGGCAACGTGGGCAACACCTCCGCTTCTCCGTCCCGCGGGCCCACCACCTACGGGAAACAGCGATGGGGTCGGGTGCGCTGCCAGAAGGGTGGCAGTGAAGGCAGAGGGTCTCGACGGACCAGACCCGGGCGACAGAAGCTGGCTTTGGGGACGTGGAACGTCACCTCTCTGGGGGGGAAGGAGTCGGAGCTTATGCGGGAGGTGGAGCGTTACCAGTTGGATCTGGTTGGGCTCACCTCTACGCACAGCATCGGCTCTGGAACCTTACTTCTGGATAGGGGTTGGACTCTATTCTTCTCCGGAGTTGCTCAAGGTGTGAGGCGCTGGGCGGCGATACTCACAAGTACCCGGTTGGGTGCTTCGTTGTTGGAGTCTACCCCAGTGGACGAGAGGGTCGCCTCCCTACGCCTGCGGGTTATGGGGGGGAAAACTCTGACTGTTGTGTGTGCTTATGCAGTTCAGAGTATTAAGCCTTGAACCCTGGAAAGAGTCCTGTATGGGGCTCCTGAAGGGGACTCTTTAATCTTGCTGGGAGGCTTCAACGCACATTTGGGCAATGATGGAGACACTTGGGAGGGAGTGATTGGAGGAGACGGCCCCCCTGATCTGAACCGGGATGGTGGTTTGTTACTGGACTTCTGTGCTAGTCAGGATTGCCAAGAGCAAACCACCATGTTCGAAGCATAAGGATGCTCATAAGTGTAATTCGGTATCCGAGCACCCTAGGCAGAACGTCCCATGATCGATTTCGTTATCGTATCATCGGACCTGAGGGCCTGGTATGTTTTGGACACTCGCCGGGTAAAGAGAGGCGCGGAGTGGTGTTTTTTGTCTAACTGAGTTCATCGCGATCTGGTGGGTGTGCGAGCGTGCGTGGGGGGAAGCCTCGGACTGATACGCTGGTAAGCCCAAAACGTGTTATTCGGTGAACTTGGAACGTCGGAGGAGGCCCAAGTTCAGGAGGCCTTCAGACTCACACCCTCCGGCGGAGCTTTTGGCGCATTCCTTGGAGGTTTGGGGACATTAACCAGAGTGTGCGGGTGTTGCAAAGCCTTTATGCCGAAGCCGCGGGCGGGAGCGTTTGGTGGTTCAAGACGGTCCTAGTG